AACCCCAAAGTAAGGTAATTGCTCTATCTTTATCTTCCCCCTAGTCAAAAAATAGAGAAAAATATTGCTGCGGTCCTGTGCTCTTGGACATGTGACAGACATAGAAAGCATTAAAACAGCCACTGAACTTGAAAAATAAGGCTAAAAATGTACTTACGCAGACTCTACCTCACACTTCAATAAAAGTGTATAGGGCTTCTTCTACCCTTTATTCAGACTGAAAACAAATGTGCTTCTAAATTTCCAACAAAAAACTAAAATCCAAGCGTTATGAAGTAATTTGTCAGTGCATGGCTAAGATCACACTTATCTTTGCCAATAAAAATTATTCATCTGATTACCACCAAGCATCATTAACAAAAATATAAATGAGATCACTATATGTATTTCCTTTAGGAATTTGAAACTAAAAACCCATCTTAATTTAAAATTTTATTTCATACAATATAATCTGAAATGCATATAAATAAATCTGTCTTAAGAGCATAATTTGTTTATAAAAGAAAAAAAAAATCTAAGGAAAATACTATATACAAAATCTACAAAGTTAAGTACAATTATGCAGCTCAAATATAACTACTATTATCAACAAGCAATGACAGAATCACAGCAACAATTACATAACCAAGAAAAAAAAAGGGAGAAGAGCAAAGGAGAAGAAGAAAGAGAATAAAAGGAGAGAAGATGACGAGAAAGAAGAAAACAGAGAAGACAGAAGTAGAGAAAGAGGAAGAAGCTGAAAAAGAACCTTAGTACGGCCAAAAAGGACTTGGGCTTGAAGGGATTCTTGGCGGCATGCAACCGAAGATGAGTGCCTTGATGAGTCCATCCCGTGACCTATCCTGGCCAAAGGTGAACGTCACATACTCAACAGATACAAAATGGTTGGTCACATACAGTGGATACCGTCCCACTTTGTTCATGACAACACCAATTTTGTATGTTCTGTTTGGGGTGATGTACACGGGCCTATTGAACATCACTTCCATAGTGCTATTCCACGGCACGCGTGCTGTGAAGTGAGTGTAGGTGAGCCGGCAGCCATCTGAGTCCTGCAGGAAGGCATAGATGAGCTCTGAGTAGCTCTGGGGCACTGGCTGCCCATTTGGTTGCTGCTCCAGAGTCTGTGGGACCATCTGCGTGGGCATCTCCACACCATAGATACAGATGCTGCTGTCTACAGAGAAGGACAGTGAGAAGTCCACCAGCTGGTCGTTGATCAAGATGGTGGTGATATCTCCTGCACAGGTACACCTCAACTGCACCTCATCCCTCAGATTTCCAATATTCCTCGGGTCAGGCGGTGTTGGCGGTGGAGGTGATGGCTCTTTCTGTCTCCTCTTCAGGCTCTGACAGAAGGGTTTGGGGATGGGAGTCACGCCCGGGGAAGAGATGTTCATCAGGAGTGTGAAGCTCTCCTCCTTGGTCAGGATTTCTGACATGGCTGGTCCGTTCGCAAACTCTGTTGGGCTAAATGTCAGGAATCTGGTGGGCATAAGATTAAGATGTAAATGAATTTTATTCTAATTCTTTTGTCACCCCCCCAATTTTTTTTTCCAAATGTTTCTAGTACTTTCTCCTATTCTTGGTCATCCAAACTATTTTTCAATATCATCCTGTAATTTCTTTATACTTCACTATCTACACTATCTTCTCCTCTGTCCTCCATCACAGAGATGCTTCTTCCTACAATATTAACTCAATCAACACAATCATCTGTCACATCAAACAGAAAAGTATTTCCTCTCAACATACAGGTCCTGTGGATTAAAACACAGAAATCAAAAGTCAACTGGAACAAAGCCGCACCTTATGAGACCCAGATTCTCACCCATGACCTTTCGTTGGTTGAGGGGTGTGGCTTCTAACGACTGCCTCCCGCACTCTTGCTTTGCCCAACGAACGCAAGCATCCCACAGCATGGCCTCCGATACTGCAGGGGGAGGGGGGACAACATAGAGACTGTAATTCATAGTCATGACCATAGGTGCAGATGCATTTACACAAAAGAAAAAGAAAAAAACTTTGGTTCAGGTAACAGACTCCCTCTAGAGATGGGTCAGTAGGTCGTGACTTTTTATTATTATTATTTTTTCTTCTTCTTTTCAACATGATATCAACAGGATGCACATTTGCCCTATGCAGTACAGCCGTGCATCAGCTAATGCCAATAGAAGTGATGCAGTCCCCATGGCATGAGATTTCCTTGGTGTGCTTTGGTAGTCAGAAATCTAGCCATTGTGGTACTAGGGGTTGTATTTTTGGTGGTACTTTTAAAAACCAGGGTTTTGGAATTATGGTAAACAGGAATTTAGTGATAAAAAATTTTGTCAGCATATTTTGGCTAACTTGAACCAAAGTTTTTTTTTCTTTTTCTTTTTTTTTGCCTTATGATACACTGAAAACTGGTATATGTAAAGCTGAGATATGAAGAGTGGCTAGCATGTTCATTTTCTTTCAAAACTAGGGTATTAATGACTCAAAATCTTTATAAAAGAGAAGAAGACTACAATAATGCAGTAAAGTCAAAAAACTTGTATTATGCTAAGCTACAAAAAAAGTATTTTCATGGTAACTAGGACTAACTTAGAGAAATGTTTTAATTACACATTAATTCATCATAACCTCTATTTTTCATTCTTCTATTTATTTTTAAAACTTGCTTTCATAAGTACATGAAAATTCATAAGTACATTAAAGACAAAACTAATTTTCTTTTATTCAAATTATGTTACTGAATCTTACATAATCTACAAATAAAAATGTACCTGATTTTTCACAAATTTAAGTCTTCCCTTACTAGGATAACACTAACTAGAAAATAGGTAAACTTATCACGAATTTTAAATTTGTTAATATTATATCCATGACTCCAACATATCAAGAACCTAAAACTATATACATAACTGGAAGTCCAATCTGATAAACAGCCGGCCAGTGACAGTGAGAGAACGAGCACTGAATCCAATTCTATCCCTCATCAAGTTCAGTTCTTAGATGCTGAACAAAGACGGACATTCCCCCCAAGATGGCCCTAGCATAAGCCACTCATAGAGTTCTTGCTTACACTTACACAAAGTAACGAAGTAACTGAATCACAAAACTGTCTTTCCAATGCATCCAACATAAACAGTAAAAAATATAACTGCATTTTTTCAAAACCTAACTTTTCTGAATAGAGACAACTTATGATCATTGCCTATATTGAATTCTATGTAGCAGATGCCTACAATAACGATTCTTGATGAATTTCAACTGATTTAGACATTGATAACCACCGTCTTTATTAAAATTTTACTAAATCTCATTTGCAAAGATTCCAATTACACTGCCTGCAACATCCCACCAACCTGCAAGGTTCTCCTGTTGCAAGATGGTTCGTAGGGTCGTCGCTTCAATATCCTCAAAGGACGCGTCTTTTATGACTAATTCTGTTTTGGAGTGAAGGATCTGGGGGCGGGGAAGAGGAAAAAATCCTTTGTTATAATAATTTTATTTAAATACTATTTTAATACCTTTAATTAATCATTTTCATTCAGCCCCTACAATTACTAGTGAAAAGAGCTGTGATAGAACCTTTTACACAACTATCCATTATTCTAAAACAGGCTTTTCATTTTCATGGTAAACAAATTATTTGATAAATAATGCTGAATGACAAAATAATCAAACAATATTAATAATAATAATAATAATAATAATAATAATAATAATAATAACAAAACTAATAATAATAATAATTTTAAAAAATAATAATAATAACAATAATAATAACAAAAATAATTACAATAACAAAATAATAATAATAATAATAACAATAGTAACAACAACAACAATACACAACAACAACAACAATAATAATAATAATAATAATAACAATATACTAATCAGTAATAATGATAACAAATACTACTAATTGTTATTATCTAATTACACAATACTCTTTTCTCTCTCTCACACACACACACACACACACACACACACACACACACACACACACACACACACACACACACACACACACACACACACACACACACACACACACACACACACACACACACTTTGTTAGCCTTACCTGTAAGCACTTATCCATCAGACTGGGTTCCTCAAAGAGCCGGGCAAATTCATAAGCACGACACATATTTCCCGGGTGCAGATCGCTCCATATGAATTTTGTACACTGTTCAACTAGGGCCGGAATCATGTATTTTTTGGCGGCATAACAAATTTCGCACACTTGGTCAAAAGACTGGAGGTTTATCTCGTCACTGTAGATGTACCTGAAATTTCAAAATACATATAAGTCGGTCTTAAAATATCTACAGAAAAGAAAATGACTTACAAAAACTGTATGTTGTATTACAGAAAATTGAATATTATGTAAAAGAAAGAAAGAAAGAAAAAAAAAAAAAAAAAACGACACAAATAACAAAATGTTATTTAATGTTAATATTAATGCAATAAGGTATGGACTACATAGAAAGGTGATATGAAGTCTGTGCCAGGAAAACAGTCTCTTACAATCTGGGTAAAGCAAATCAAATGAAAATATAGACACTGGAAAATGGAATAAAAGCTAAAATTGCCTAGACAGAAAAAGAGAAAATAGCATTGCAAAGGGTAGGCATGGAGTCTTGTCACCACACATGTGCATCTGGATCCAATGGGTTAATAAAGCTTTTCTAATTAACACTTCTACTTCTTTCTCTTTGCCTTTTCCTGCTTCTATGTGGGGTTGGCATTTTTGACCAACTTCCTCCAATCAGCCCAATCCCTCAACTCGTTTCCTTGTAAGTTCTATTCTTACAAATCGCGTTATATTTTCCATCCAACTTCTTTACGGCCTTCTTCGTCTTCCATCCACCTCCAGCTCCATTACCCTCCTGCCAACATAATTTTCTTCTTTTCTCATCATCTTTCCTGTAATTTCTTTGAAAACTTTTCAACCTTCACAGTCCCTCTAATACTTTCATTCCTAATCTCCTTTACTCTTGTTACTCTACACATCCACCTCAGCATCTTCATCTCAACCGCAAACTTTCTTTCTTGTGACTTTTTTGTTGGCCAAGTTTCTGCACCATAAATCATAGCCGGTCTAACAATTGTTTAGTATAATTTAACTTTAACCCTTGTGCTTATCTTTTTGTCACACAAAACACCAGACATCTTTCTCCTATTCATCCAACCTGGCTGCACTCTATGTGTAACTTCTGAATCCATCTCTCCATCCTTGGATACCACTAATCCAAGGTACTTAAACTTTTCACTCACTTCAGCACTTCGCCTTGTATTCTCACTTCTCTTTCTTTCTCACAAAAATTTAGACATTCTGTCTTCTCCTTGCTGATTTTTAAGCCTCTATCCTCTAAAGCCCTTTACCACTGATATAATTTACGCTCGTTCTCCTCTTCACTGATACTGGCGATAAAAATGTCATCTGCAAACATCATGCACCAAGGAGGCTGTTCTTTAACCCATTCTGCCAATATATCCATAATAAGGTTGAACAGATAAGGACTAAAAGAGGACCCCTGATGGAGGCCAACTCTAACCGAGATCCATCCTGTTGTGCCAACACTGGTTCTCACCTGAGTTCTTGCTACTTCATACGTGTCCTGGATGATCCGAACATATTTTTCTGGCACTCCCTTCCTTCTCATGCATCTCCAGGGCTCCTGCCTTGGCACTCTATCGTAGCCCTTCTCTAAATCTATAAAAACCATGTGCAGGCCTTGCCTCATTTCCCTATGCTGTTCCATCAATTGCCTTAGCACAAACACTGCATCTGCCATTACTTTTCTTGGTATAAACCCAAACTGCTCATCACCTAAGATGGTTTCCTTCCTTATCCTACTTGCACTTATCCTCTCCCATACTTTCATGGTATGAGACATTAAATTGATCCCCCTGTAATTGCTGCAATCCTGGATATTTCCTTTCTCTTTATAGATAGGTATAATGATGCTATCCCTCCACTCATTGGGGATCTTTTCCTCCTCATAGATCTTCGTCATTAAATCCCACAACATATCAATTCCTACATCCCCTAGACCTTCCAAACTTCTGCAAGTATATTGTCCAGTCCATTTTTCATCTTCCTCAATGCCTCTTTAACTTTCTGCCTACTGATATCACAAGTCACCCCAAGTTTGGAGCTCCACCCTTAAAAAGTGCTCTAGGATTTTCCTCATTCCAAAGTAGCTTTTCCATCTGTCCCTGATCTTTTCCTCTTCATTTAGCACCATTCCCTCTCCCTCTTTGATCTGTCTAATCTGAGTGTAGTCTTTGGTTGCTTTATCCCAGGCCTTTGCAATCCTCAACGCTTTTCTTTCTCCCTTTGTTTCTTCCAACTCTTTGTACGTTTCATCCAGTGCAATAGTCTTGGCTCTTGCCACTGCATTTTTTGCTCTCTTATTAGCTTGTTTATAATTATCTTTAACTTGTTCTAGTCCTATTACTTCCTACTTTTTCTTCGCCTCTCTCTTTTCTCTAACATCCAACTGCACTTCCTCATTCCACCAACAACTTTCCTTGTTTTCAGGAGGGCCTTTCCCACATGTTTTACCCAGTACCTCTTCCTCAACTGCTCTTATCACCGCACTATTAATTTCCCACCATTCCCCTACATAGGTCAGCGGTCTCACCCTTTCAAGCACTTTTTCTTTAAATTCTAGTGTCATTCCTCCTATTTCAATCTACACCACTTGATTTTAGGTTCTACTCTCCTCATTTTCAATTTATTTTTCCTCTCATACTCCTAGTCCATCACAACTACCTTATGTTGTGATGCTGTATTATCCCTGTGAATTACTTTACAATTCGTGATATCTCTTAGGTGTTGCCGTCTACAAAGAATGAAGTCAATTTGGCTTTCTCTATTCCCAGTTTTATAGGTCATATACTGTCATTCCCTCTTCTGGAAGTAAGTGTTCCAGATTGCTAAATTGAAGGACAAGGCAAAATCTACTATTCTTTCTCCTTCCTCATTCCTCTCTCCTACACCCCATCCCCCATGTACCCTCTCTAGCCAATCTTTGTTGATGCCTATGTGCCCATTTAGGTCACCTCAAATGATCACTATCTCTCCTGCCTCCACTTCCTCCAATTCTGCCTTTAAATCCCTCCAGAAATCTTCCTTTCCTTCTTTCTCACAGACTACCTGAAGAGCATATATACTCATGATGTTTACTGTTTCTTCAAGGTATAATTTTATGCGCATTATTCTATCACTTCTTCTACTTACACTGATCAGATTTTCCTTCATTCCAACCAATAATATAATCCCAACCCCATTTCTGCTCTGCTCATTTAATCCACTATAGAACAACTTAAAACCTCCTCTTAGTTCCCTTGCTTTATTCCCTTTCTATCATATTTCCTGCACACATAGCACTGCTATTTTTCTTCTTTCCATTAAATCTGCTACCCCCTGCCTTTCCCAGTAATTGTTCCTACACTGAGTGGTCCCACTGTTACCCTCACCTTTGGTTTTGGAGC